GTTTAAGCCGCACACCCCCCCCCCCCAAAGAAAGCGACAGAGAGAGAGAGAGAGAGAGAGAGAGAGAAACGAGTGACGAGCATCCGGAAGATGCAACGGCAGCCAGCCAAACGCATCTTCGCACGTCCAAAGAAGAAGACAAGGGCATTGGGCTGAGATGTCTCGTGCTAGCTGAAGACAGCCGTCGACCTTGAAACGCAGCAGGCGACCATAACGTTATGCACGCCCTTCAACACACTGGGCATATAGTCTGGTATGCGGAAGCTTCGTTTTGATCTGTTTCTTGGGGTCCCCGCTTTAAGGAGCAGAGCGGCCTTGAGGAGCTCCTCTGCCCAGTAGAGGTGGAGGCGAGGCATTGGGAACACCCCCAGGACCCCCTCTGTGCCCTCTTCGAACTTCTCTCCTTCTCTGTATGCAGGTGATCCCTGGCCAGCAGCCGCCATCTTGCAGGGTCTGTGCCACCATCGCTTCGCAGGAGTCTTGCTGCCAAGGCTCTTAAGCCTTAGAGATGCAAGGAAGGAGACGGAGTAGAGCCCCGGAGCTCATTCCACTCTTCTCGCTTCGAAACTAAGAGCATGAAGGGTTACAGCAGGCCACATGGTGGGTCTTGGTGTGTGTTTTATTCCATGTGGGTAGTTGTTCTCCCAACATATTGGGGACGCTGCAAAAAACATGCCGCACTGTCTGGGGCGTTGCTTCCGAAAGGGCAGTTCTCCAAAGAGCCCTGTGTCCTCGAGGATTGGGGAAGCATCGGCTATCAGATGGATCAAGGCCCGGAAAACCAGGAAAGTTGCACGCAAAGTGCGCGGACAGCTCTTGCGAAGAAGGCAGTGGGTGGAAGATCTTGGAAGCTTACAGCCCCGCTTTGAGGCGAAATTCGCTGGGCCCCAAACTCCTCGTGCTCGCTGGACGATTCCGTCATCGACAGCTACGAGGACAGCGAGCGAAAGGGAGGAGAAGGGGGGGGGGAGGGGGGGACGCGCTTGCCTCTGAAGGTTTGGATCGTCGACTCCTGCGGGCAGAAGCTCGAGCTGGTGGGTTCCCTCAGCCCTCGGATCCAGGCCAGCACTCAGCATCCCATGCCGCATCGCTTGCTCTAGGCGTTCGTACTCCTCAATCCGTGAATCCCGGTGGCTTCGTCTAGTTCGGAGCGATGCCACCAATTGTGCGTTATTACGGTTGAGATTCGACACAGTTGTGCTTGGCTCTCGTAAGACCTTCGAGCAAAGTGGGGGAAAAAGGAGCCTGAGAGCCTGCTAAAGCGAAAGGCAACTGGAATTTCCTGCCCTCAGCTTCATGGTCTCTTTCTTCCCGCCCCACGTGCGCAGGTTTGGACAGCCGAGATGCTCGAATGTGGCTTGACCCTGTTAGCTTCAGGCTAGTTGGGCGACAGCTGGAGAATTCTCTCTGCTGCCTCACGAGCATGGAGCAAGGCCTTGATTTGCGAACCTGGATTCACCGAAAATTTTCTTCAACATCGAAAACGGGGATGTGGGATAGTTCCAATTGGCGGGTCGTCGAAGACAGTAGGTGCCTGGGGGGATGAGCGGGCAGCTGGTCTGTCTCTGAGCAACTGAGGTGGTTGTCGCTTCACAAACCCAGTTTCCTCGGGGCGGAAGGGGGGTTGGAGTGGCCAGTTACGGCGGAGAATGTAACATTATTATGCATGTATGTATCTGTACATGTGCCTATATGTACCATAATGACCATAATGATCATAATGTATGTGTATTGATTTGGCACCCAATGTTTGACATGCTGTTTACTTGTGTCTACGTTATGTACAGATGTATGAAAGTATATTCTAGGGGCTCATTGCTGTGAAAAGGCAATAGAAGGCAATAGTTGGGTAGGTCGAGGGGCCTGAGGGGTTGCAGCCGCTGTGGGTGGAGGGCTTGTAGGTGGTGCGGGGTCGGAAAGGCAACGAAGCGGTGAAACACAACTTCTGGGTGCCGTTCTGGGGGCCGGCGGATACACAGAGAGATACAAACAAAAAATGGATGTATGTGTGTGTGTATGCATATATATATATGTATATATGTATGTATGTATGCATGCATGCATGCATGCATGTATGTATGTATGTATGTATGTGTATATGTATATATATATATACACATATTTATTTATATGCATATTTATATTTATATTTGTGTATACAGACACACCTGTCTCTCTCTCTCTCTCTCTCTTTTCCTTGCCTGTCATCGCTTTCGAGGTTGCCATCCTTCGTGGTATGCCCTCCCGCTGGGTGGCCTTGTGCTGCCACCGGCTGCGCTCTCAGCCTTGAGGGAGGCTCAAGGCTCAAGCTGCAAGGTTCAATCTTGGAGAAGCTGAAGCATTGAGACCAGAAGTCCTCCAAAAGCCCCTTAAAGAAAAGCCTGGAGCTCAGATGAGGTCTTCTTATGTCAGATCTCGCACGAATCTCGTAGAAGACCAAGCTAGAACGACAACTTGGCTCAGTTCCCCACATGTTGCAGCTACCAAGGTTTCTGTAGGTTTCCTCATTGTGCCCTTCCAGGCAGGGAAAAAAATGCTGCGATTTGCCTTACGGGGTTTCTGCGGCTTTGGACGTGGGAAGAGAGTCGATGCTCGCGAGCGTTCCGCTGTCTGCAGGGCAACAGGTCGTTTCCGGGAGCGATGCTTCCCGTCTACCACCGCCCGGGCCCCAAGGGCACCGAAGTGCACCCGTTTCTCTGCAAAAGGGAGCTCTATAGAGAAGAGTTCCTGCCTTGCAATGTCTGCCAGGTGTGCAGACCAGCACTACATCCTCGTCTAGTTCAACATCCACTACCTCAACCTCCAGTACTTCCAGCTCGAGTTCTTCAACTTTAAGTACTACAACTTCCGGCACTTCCACTTCTTCCATTTCCAGCAGCACGACGAAGAGCACCACAACTTCCGTATCCGCTGCTTGCCCATGAAGTCAATCACAGTGGACTCGTGCCAAACAGAAACATGACTGATCACGCCGAACCCTTTTTTGCAAGCCCCCGCCGCATGCCTGACGGGAAGGTTACATCCACGACCTCGGCTACGACGACCACGAGCCTCGGTTCAAGCATTGATGCTGCTAATTGCTCCTGCTTTAAAACTGGGTTTAGGGTTTTTGGGTTGGTTCTTGTCGGTCATCGCTTCAGTTGCCGTACGTGTAGGCTCTCCGAGACGCCAGAGCAACAACGATCATGGTCCTGAGGGCGACTAAGCCGAGGGGCTCGTGACATCGTGAAGGTCTAAGCTCTGCAAGTAGACATGGGGTAGTGCATCGTAGGTGGGCGGTGGGAAAAAGTAAAGCCTCACCAGCTCTGCAAACTGACCTATTTACGTCATGTGCGTACATGCACACATGTGTCTATTGTTCGCTGCTTTGCCTGCTTGCTCGTAGTCTGCAGTCTTTGCTTGCGCAGACAGAGGAGGGATCGGGTGCTTTGCTGTCTGGGTGAGTGCCGGGTACTTTCAGCTTGCGGGGTTGCAGTTTGGAGACATAGCTTGAGACTCACATCATGGGAACGGAGGTCGCTGACTTCGACCTCCATAACATCGGCATCCTGGCGAGAGACATGTGTCCACAAGGGCCCTGCCCAAGGGCCAGGCCCAATCCCGGAAGCTGAAGAAGCCTCCAGCTCTGCCTGCTTGAGGTGACCACGACCTTCACGACGAGGACCTTCACCTACACGATTATTCCTGGAGACTGCCCTTTGCCACTGACGGATGGTTCGCAAGATGCGCTGGACTGCCTCTCCAGAACACCCGGCTGCTCGATCTGCGATGGAGGTCGAGAGTTCAGAGGCAGCATGGATTTTGATCGCGCTTCGGGAGGGGCCAGTGTCCAGAAGCCCGCGTTGCTGAGGTGAGACGTGTGCATCGTGGCTAGCATTAGGATGGACTGCCTGGGTTGAGGGGACTCACAGTAACAAGCTTAGCCTCTGAACACGCAAGTCATGTAAAGAGCCTTGGATCCGGGTTGAGGGCGACCACCAAGCTGCACATCAGGTGAACACTGCACAAAGCTTTTCGGGAGGGCGGCCCTACCGTGCTGGCACGGAACGCTGTGCTTTGCTCAGGAAGTCGTTTGTGCCGAAGGCTTCGACGCAAATGCCACGACCCTGACGTGCGGCGAGACGGAAATCTTCGAAGGCCGGAGCAGATGCGAGCATCAGTTGCCAAGGCGGCCAAGGGCCCCAATTCCTCTTAGGCTGCGGTTGTGTCCGAGTCAGGTCCACTTCCCACGTGCACGAGACGCTGTATCGCAGGCTTGCCTGGCGGCCTAGGCAACTTGTCGTGCCTTTGCCCTGCCTCCCAAACGGCGCAGAGACGCATAGAGGTGCAGACACACGGCAAACAGAACTGGCAGGTTGTCGCTTCCAGTGTATCTTTAACCACACGCGCACACACACGACACGCACACGGAGACGCACAGTCACTCAATCATTCGCTCAGACTTTAAATGGTTTCAGAGAGCGAAACTCGTTCGAAGGTTGTGTTGTTTGGTTTGCTGCTTGAGGCATTGTCACCAGTGACTGCGACGGCAAAGTGAACGGCCAGAGATGCGAGGTCTCCTGCGCCTCGTACGATCCCAGCAGAGAGAAGGAGAGGAGGAGAGGAGAACAAGCAACACTCGCGTTTCGCCTCTCCTTTCTTCCCTTTAGGCGACGTTGGCTTCACTGGTGGGCCCGTGGAGTCTTGGCCGGGTGTTCACGGGGTGATGATACTGTAACAAAGAGTGAAGCAGAAGCAGCGCAGCGCGCAGCGAAGCACGCAGCTCGTGTTTCTTCTGCCTTTCGACGTGGGTTGCCTCTTTCTTTTCTCAGGAGTACTTGTGCAATTCGGCCGGCTTCTTTGAGGGGCCCGGACTGGAATGCGCGGTGCCGACCTGCGCAGAGGAGAAAGAAAGACCCGCGTAGCGAACCCGCCGGCCTTGTCCTTGCCGGGCTTCAGAAGCGCAAAGTTCTGGATCGTCTGGGAAGGGAGGGAAGCGGCCCTCGTATTTCCTGAAGCTTTCAGCTCTTGGAGAGCCTGAGCACTGCTTTCTGGAGGAGGATCTGCCCAGTGGCTTCGACACGACCGACTGCGCGAACACAGAGCTCTTCGGGTTTTGCCCCTGGGCCACACGCGATGGAATGCGTTTTCCTGCCTTGTACCAGTCCACGAAGCGCTTCAGACAAAGACAGGGGAGGTTCTAGCTGGGGCCTGCTGGCTGAAGGGCAGTTCTCGATTCATTGCGAGAGTTTTCCCGGAGTGCCCCACAGGCATTTTGTTCATCCTGTTCTTCAGTAGTTCTTCACAGCATCTCTTCGTCTCTAAGGTTTCGTCCGCTGCCCCCCTGGTTACGCGTTTAACGAAGCAGTCTTCCTCTGACACTCGGCTGACCAAAGCGTGCAAGGTTTCAAGCTGGACTTGGGAGAACTCAGGTCAATCTTCGGGCATTTTCTTGGGCACAGCTCCCGAATGTCAACGGCTGAGCTGCGGTTCCAACCTGCTGCCGCAGCAGGCGTGGGGGGGCAGCAGCGGCACTGCGGCAAAAAGAAGCCAAGAGCGGCGCTCCGGACAGGTGGGCCTGAATCTCTCTGATTGCCTTGGAACCTTCGCCGGAAGCTCCTGCCTGGTCTCCTGCGAACTTGGCTATGAAGGCGAGGCTTCGGTCTTTTCCTGCTCCCTTGCCGCCTGGACGCAGGAACCAGGTCCCCAGCTGAGCCCTTAAACGGCCAAGCCTGCTTCGGTCTCACAACCTTTCAAAGACTGGGGGTGGAACTAGTCGCAAGGATCTTTTCGGTTGCAGCCTTTTTCGCTTTTGTTTCCGAGAACATGGCATCGTCATGTAGCAGGGAGTGCCTTATTTATTCTAGTGACGAGTGTGCTGGGTGGGGGATCACCCATAGGCCCGACTGGAATTCGTAGCCAAGGACGGGACCTTCGACGGGCTGGCACCGTCCTGCGCGCGGAAGGTGTGTCCCATCCCTTCCCGGCTGGTCGCCCCCGAACTCTCCACTGACTGTGCGGGCGCAACCTGGAGGAAGAATTACCCAGACAGCCAGACAGCCTTCCCGCAAATCAATTGTAGCAAGGCGCTGAGGGACAGACTCTGGTGACCCAGCTCGATACACTATCGCAAGTGGTGAAGATCAGGGTCAAGGAGCATCAAACTCGCCACTCTCGCACCGATTCTTTAGAGACGGGTAACCACATCATGGTGAAATGGGCAGGGCCAGTTGGTCCCAGCGACTGTCAACCCGTGCAGTCATCCCAAAGGCAGTGAAAATCGAGAGCGTCAGAATTAGCCTGTTAGGACCTGATGCACTCAGGTACAACATCTCGACCGCTGCATTGGCCGATGCATGCCGGGCTTCACCGGCTTCTTGCACTCCGAAGATCATAAGCCGCGGTTTGTGCTTCCCAAACGGCACAGAAACGAATCCTTCGATGGGACCCAGACTTTGACTTCCTGCCGAGGTTCGCCCACTGAGCTGCGCTGCTTTGACGGCTTGCTGACGGGGCCAACCCCGCTCTGCCTCCCGAACACCTGCTCCCTCTTCGGCTCCTCGGCAAAAACAAGCCCCTACGCCCACACCGCACGCGCAGTTTTGTGGGGGCAAAAGTGTGTTGTTTTGTTCGGCGCCGCCTTGCCAAGGCTTCAGCCTGGGCAGCGGCGTGAACGTGACGGTGGCCTGGCCTGGTGCTAGAATATGAATATGCTGCCTGCTATACTGCATCATACTGCATCATGCAGCACACCGTTTTTGTTTCTGTCGGAAGCCGCTCTCGCTCTGTCTCTCTCGAGCGTCGGTGCGCATGCTCGAGGACTGCGTCGGTGCGAGGACGTCGCAGAACTGCAGCCTGGCGCCTCGGAAAGAGAAAAAGAAAGAGCAAGCGCTGAAGCCCCCCCAGCCCCCAAATCGAGGCGCCAAGGCGAAGGCGAGGCTTTCGGACCCTCCGCTGACTCGTCAGGACTGCGAGCGGGGCTACTTCCCCGTCGGTGTCCCGGAGATGAGCTGTCAGAGTGACGGAAGCTTCCTGAGAGGCGGCCGGCGGTAGCTGCGATGTAGCTGCAGTAGCTGAGAGTCTGAGAAGCGCCGCGACACTCATCTCTGCAGAGGCGGCAACTTCTCCTGCCTTCCGACACCCTGTGGCGGCATCTCCAAGGTCTCCCCCTTCGACGAAGCCCGGCAACCGGGCCGCCAAGCCGTAGCCGCCGTAGCCGCCAAGCTGCCCTCGCCGTAGCTGCTCGGCTTCAGGTTCGGGGACTCCTGCGTCAGCCAGAGCTTCGGGGACTTCTGCAGCGTCTTTTGCGAGACCGGCTGGACCATCTTGGGCAATGCCACTCCGCTGCCTACAGTACAGCAGAACCCGCACAGAATGCTTCCCCCCAAAGCGCTTGGCTCACCTAGCAACTTTCGAAGTGAGGCCACGTTGATGCTTTGCGACGCTGGACCCAACAGCAGCGCGGGGTACACGGAGCTGCCAAGCTGCAGTGGGAGAGGCTAGCAGTGAGGAGCTCACGCTTTCCACTTCGCGTGCAACTCTACGCTCCATACTACTATTTGCTATTGCGATCACTATTGCTATTGCACGAATTTATTGTGAGAAAAACTCTTGTTGTGAGGTCTTTGAGTCAGATGCCCGCCGAGACCTCCCAGGGGCCAACGTGTGTCAGCAACCCCTGCAGGAGAGCCTGGGTTCTGTAGGCACAGCTGCGCCAGGGTGTTTCTGGGGATGTGCTGAGTGACTGAGTGGATTTTCTAGCTGTCGGTGTTCTCACGTGACCTGTTCTTGTCCGAGCTCTTCTTGACCATAACACCCCCCCCCGTCGATGTTGAAGAGACTGCCCATAGAGCAAAAGGATGGCATCATCATGCCATGACCAATCAACCAGCAGGCCTTGCCAGGAGGCTTCACTCGAAGGAATAGAGCCTACGTATCCAAAAAGCTTCTCTTGCAGACCCCTCCGCCCCCGCTCTCTGCCCATCGCGACGCATGTTGTTCTTTATTTCAAGTATATGTGCAAAAAACATTTGACAACGCCGGGGCGAGTCTGTTGAGTCCCCCAGGGCATCATTGACCGCCATTCAGTACTTCACAGCTTCCCCAGTTGACACCATACCGTTGTGCAGCAGCACAGAAAGTTGCATTGTGCATCGAGATACCAGAAACCCACTGCTCCTTCATTGGCATGCTATCTAGAATCTAGACTGGGCCATCATGCCAGTCCAAATTGCATCCAACGAAATGACTGGTGATTTTGCCCGATCACCCGATGGCATTGTCCAAGACCAGAGCTTGCTACAAGAATCGTCGCCCACAAAAGCCACATTGTGAGACCGAGCCACGGCCATCACGAGCCACACGCATGCAGAAACACTAACTTCTCGACGGCCGCGTCTAGGAAGGCCCTGCCGGCACGGGGGGCTACAACTCATTCTGGACTTTCGTTCCTCCTATCTCGAAGAACGATGCAGAATCTTTTTTCCGGCAATCTCGGCCAGCGGACGAGCCCGCTGCACAATCGAGAACACCCCTACCAGGCCGCGAACGCTGCCAATTCGAGAACTCACATCGACCCCGTCTCGACTTGGAGCGCCTTCTCAGAGAGACGCTTGTGGGGCGGCGAAAGCGGAAGGCAAAGTCGGAACAACTTCCCTTTGCACTGCTTCGGCGGAGGCGGCAAGCAGCTAGAGAGTTGCAACTGACATTGACAAAGCTGATCTTGCAAAAGACTACAACAAAGTCGGTGGAGGAATGTCTCGATGGTCGCTGTGCTGGAGCGTAGAGCTTAGTAAGGCCATGGACTGTTTCGGGGACGGCGTCTGTAACATGAAGTCACGAAGCCCCGATGGGGAAAGGGAACGTCTTCAAAGTCCGCTCGCAGGATTGGCCTGCCTAACATCTTGGGCGTCCAACACGATTGCCTGGGCAAGACAACCTTGCAGACCTGCACAGTGCCGCTTGCTTGGCAGGACGTAGACTGTTACTGTGTAGTCACGTTCGCGGTCGTTCTGAGGAACGCCTCATTTGGATTCACCATGGTGGGGCAAAGCTCTGCAGTGCTGCAGTGTCACATCGACGGCCAGTTTCTCGGGACGGTGCCCGAGGCGCCGGTCACAACTCCGGTCCGGGCCGTGAGGGCTGTGCGAAGGCGCCAGAAAGCGTCGCAGGTGAGGACGGCCCAGTGCCCTTCGCCGAACTTCGACGCTCTCAGCGTTGGAAGCACCTGCGAGAACAAGTCGCCCCTTGTCGGATAGTAATATCGGATATGCCGAGTCGGCAATACGCCGAGTGTCGCACCTTGAAGGCTCTGGCTGTGCATGTCTCCACTCTGAGTCTGCAGGATCGGAGCCGAGTGCTGGGCTTTCTGCAAGCCGCTTGCCCGTCGATATTCGAGTCGCCGACAAAGCACGCGCGATCGCAAAGTGCGATGCCTTTTTGCGCGCTTTTGTTTTGGGGGGAAGCTCTCTCCGCCTGCCTCGCCCTGAGGTCGGGATTTACTGGGGATCCGCAGCCCTACGAATGCGTCGCGGACGAGGCTGCCAACGTCATCGAGGCCCAAGCCTTCGCGGCTGTGCTTCCTTGTACCACGTGGTACAGAGACTGCGCATCTTGAGCTGAGAGGCCTTGTTAGGCAATTTGGGCCCAAGGGACGTCTTGACCTCAAAGAGTGCCTCAAAGTGCTGAAAACCGCGGCAGGTGCGGCCGGTAGCGGCGAACATCTCCTGCCAGAGCTCGAGTTCGAGGCGTCTGGGCCTGGGCCATCTGGACCTCGCTGCACCCGGTGGAGTCGAACCGCGGCGAATGACAGCTGCATGCAACCTGGCCGGAAGTGCCTCGAAAGTCATGCGGTTTCTGTTTCGTGCTGTCGCGTGTGTTTGACAGTAGCGGGATCAGATCGGCATGACCGCAATTCAGCAAGCGACTGCATTCGGGTGGTCAAGAGTACGGGATGGAGATCACTGAGGCAACCAGCCTGCCGTGGATGGCTTTGGACTGGCCTTGCCACAGTACGAGCACAGATTCTTGGCAGAACAAAACGACGCGAGACTCCTTTGGAGAGCGCCTTCTGCCCTTCCTTGGCCTTTGCCTTGGCCTTCCCCCAAGGCTGCTCGTCTCTGCTTCACGACGAGGTCTGCATCGCGCACTGCAGTTTGGGTTGGGACATGCTCCTTGACGTTTATTTGGGCAGGGATGTGAGTCGGGTCAGTCTGGGACGGTCGCCTTTCAACCCAGGACCGGATCGGCGACGGTTCTTCTTTGCGACAATGGAGCCCTGAGCGGCGGCAGCGCGGCGGCAGTTTGGCGCAGGGGGCAGCTCTAGGAGCGGTTGGGTGCAGCGCCTGCCTGCCTTGGCCCCTTGGCCTGCCTTGGTACCCTTCTTGGTGCTTCGGCGACTCTGAGGCGTCCTGCCGGCTTGCGCGGCACAGCCTTGCTCCTACAACGTCCCAAGTGCCTTGGCGAAAAAGGCCGCCCGAATAGGTTATCCAATGGCAGCCTCTCTCGCAGGTGCGGTCGGACTGCAGCACAACTGCAGCAATGTCACGAGACCTGCTGCGAATTCAGCTGATTTCAAGTTTCAAGTCCAGGCTTCAGTGAGTCTAATTAGGTATGTGCCGCGTGGCGCCACACATGATACTCTGAGCCTGCGAGGACGGGCGGAATTTGCTTTGCAAGCTGCACGGAGGAGGCTCTCCTTGGCGAAACTTGGCTTGTCGTATTTACGCCCGCCTCGGCGCGCCTCGCAGGGCTTCGAGTACTCCTCCGGCGGACCAGAGCTCTTCGAGTGTCTGCCGAGCGGCACATTCAGTGGCCTCTCGGTTGCAGGGGTTCTCGCTGGAGTGCAACGCTGCAAGAAAGCCAGCAGATGTGTAATTGCTAGGAACCCTTCCAGCCTGCCAGCGGCGCAGCTGTTTGGATTTGGCTCTCGATGACAGCAAGTTCGCGCACAACTGCCGTGACATGGCACCCCTGGCTTGCCGGTCGACGGTGATTGCGGCGCCAAGAGCTCTCGACTCGCCCATTGGCAGGTCTTCCTGGACACCTGCGGCGTGACCTGTGCCAAGGGCTGGAACCTGGTGGGCTGGGCTTCGCAGCCGCTCGGACCGGACCAACTCACGGGAGCTGGGGGCAGCGGCAGCGACCTCCCGCCTTTTGTGAGGTTCGAGTGTGGCAGTGAGGGAGACATCACTGGTGTGCCTCCTACCTGCGTTGCTTGGCTCGGCCTGGCCTCGATCCTCCGGCACCAGACCCGGTCCTTTTCCAGCCTTGTCAGTCTGAGGTTGGCAATCCCTGCGTGAACAACCTCCCCGTGGACCAGGCTTTCTCTGGCGAGGCCGGCGGTGGTCGGCACCAAGGAAGGAGGCGGTCTTCTCTTTTGTTTGGCACGCGCGTGTGCCAGGATTGCTCTGGATTGACGACGGGGATGACCTGCAGGGGCCATAGCCAGAGAGCAGCAAGTGCAGCCCAGCGCGCAGGGGTTCCCACTTTTCTGACCTGGCCTTGCCTCGAGGCACCGTTACCTGCAAGCCCGGAAGCGTGTTGAACTCGGCAGTCCTCACCTGTGGCATCGGTGCCTCGTGCTATTATAATCAGGCTTGCAGGGAGATGAATAGAAAGGGTCGGAACAGGGCAGGGATTCTCGGGGAAAGTTGCAAGTGCAGAGGTGATCACACCTCAACCTGACCCCATTGGCTCGCTATAGTCTGAGCAATCGTATGTGTGATGTTGCTCAGACGCTCGGAGCAGAAGAACGCAGGTAAACTGTACTCAAAGGCCGTAATGTATTCCTGACCAACTCGATCTTTCGACAGCGAAGGTGGCTCCTTGGTGGGAGAATTGCCGGTCTGCCTGCCTGCAACGTGCGCCACCAGCCCGACACTACAGGATGCGCACAGCGCTGGGAGATGTGTGTTCGCTCGAAGGTCTTAGAACTCGACTTCGGTTGAGACTGAAGTTCTGCATTTCACCATCTCGCATGACTCATGCTGGCCCCACAACAGCTTGTCACATCTTTGATTCAGGACCCCTCCGTGGCGCACGACTGTGAGGACGTGGCATTCGGACAAGGTTGCAGTGCCTGGCCGTTCAGTCACCCTCGCTGTTCCTCTGTGCTGATGCAAACTTCCGGAAGTCGTTTCTCGCAGCTGAGGCGTGTACTGTGCAGATGGGCATCGTGGCAGCAGCGATGCCGAAATTGGGGGGTTTTCAACCGAAGCAGCACTTGACTCCAGGTATCAGCTGGCCTCTGGGCAGACAGGCGAGATGTGGCAGTGCCTGCTCGACGGCAGCAGCATCAGCCTTTCCGGAGTATTACCCATTTGCCCCTCGACGCAAGTCAACACGCGGGAGGCGCCCAGTGAGGCGCTGACACGTCTTCCAATGTTCCTCTCAAATTCTGCTCCGGAAAACGTCATGGCCCCCCTCTGTCACAGAGTTCAAGTGGGGGAGAAACCTTCTAGTCAGCAGTACTGCAGTCAGGCAACAGCGTTCATGGGGATGCTGGTTGGCTTGCGTACCTTTATCAGATGCTTTTCTTAATGGCCGACCTGCCGCAAGGTGACGTTAGCCCATCGTGCTGAGCACGTGAGACTGGAGGGAAGGAACGCGAAAGACAACACGCACTGAGCACCAAATAGAGACCTCGGACGTGCATGTGCCTGTAGCCAGGAAGATCAGGTCGTAGGCTCTCCGAAGAATGGTAGGACATCATCTTGACCCTGAGGCAGCCAAGTCCTGCTAAGGTGAGCCTGTGACATGCCCTGGCTTGACCCAGACCACCAATGCCTTTGCGGACAACTGCAGCAATGTTCTAGCCGGCGAGCGGCGCGCTTAGAGTCTTAGAGCAAAGCAGCAGAGCTGCACCTTTCCTGCACCTGCGCTCCGGCGAGCGGAGGTCCTGTGAGCGACGCTGTGCGAGAGGCTTCCGCACAGTAAGCGGAAGCGGCGGAAGCGTGGAGCGGCATCCCAGCAGAAGCTCGGTCTTGCTGGAAGCTCTGCGCTTGTGCGAAAAACTCCGCATCTCAGGTACAACTGCAGTGTGAACGGCGGCTTCAACAGCGATGGAGTGGAAATACGCTGCTGCTCACCCGCAGAGAGAGGAGTAACGATCCTTTGCAGTCTCCGGTTCGCTTGGACTTGGGCCCCAAATTCTATGCCTCTAGGAAAAGGCCCATATATAGGCTAAGACGAAAGGTGGCTTCGTGTTGCGCGACTCGCTGCCCTGCTCTGAGGCCAGCCTGTTTCCTGCAGCACGGACTTCGAGATCCCACACGTCGTCCACACCTGCGCCGGCGTCGCTCCTGCTGCAGACAGTGTTTGCCGAAGCTGTTCCCCACGCCCCCCCCCCCCCCCCCCCGCGAAGCGAAGCGACTGGCGACTCTAGCGCGAGAGAGAGCTGTGTTTGGGAGCCCCTGCTCGCGCTCTCTGGTAGAGAAGTCGGGGCCGGGGCCCCGCCTCCGCCGTCAGGTCGTGGCCGGGCAGAGCTGCTTCGCCTACTGCGCTCCGGGCTACGGCGTACCCCTCCCGGAGGCCCCGCGCGTCATGCAGTCAGTCCTCCGAAAGAAAAGAAGCAAACAAAGACACACACTCCACCAAAAAAGCAAAAACTTGTGTGCGGTGCATGCGCATGCCTCCGCTCCTCCGGTGGCTCAGCAGAGGTGGCCTTGCCTTGGCAAGGCTTTGCACGGCTCTGGCAGGCAGGGACGGCAGGGAAGGAGAGAGCGGCTCTTCTGTCTCTCGACCCAAACAAAATCCTCTGAGAGGTGCTACCGTGGAACTGCTCGGCAGACGACTCGCCAGCGGCAACCCTGCTGTCCAATTATCGGGATGCTGTTTTGGAGGTCTTTGACTTGTCTGACGGCTTTGGTCTATGGCCGCCCTTCCGGCATTTAAGGTGAGCGATGCGCCGCTGATTGAATCTTGGAGTTCTATGGTCATTCTGTTCCGAGCTTTAGCTGCCATGACTCCATGCCCTGTCAAAGGACGGCTATGGCTTGCGTGGCAGGGTGCCGGCTTCTTGCTGGCACGACTTGCACAGTAAGTAATACTTCAGTGCCACGAGCTGATTTGAGTCGAGCCTTCATGGAGTTCGATAAAAAATGGACAGAAGCACAAGCAGCGAATGGAGAACGTGCGTGAAGTGCAGCTGTTTCCCAAGGAATGCGTTCCTCAGATATGTGCCTACAACATCCCCTTCGGACCTCAATTCTCGCACGACTGCCAAGGCATTGTGAAGCCTGGCAGCAGTAGCAAACAGGGCCGCTTCTTTGAAGTGTCTTTCGCCAAGCTCTCCCAAGCTCAGGACGGATCAGAGCTGCAATGTGAGCTGCGCAGTTGGTTATGCTGGGCCCAGTGTGACCTGGAGCTGCGGCACGGACGGAGTGCCCCAGGGTCATGACTCGGTGAGACTGTGTAACTTCTCAGCGTCATCCTCCCAGATGTGAAAGTTAGCCCTTCCCCAGAAGGCTCACCCCTAAGTGATTTGTTGAAGACAGGGCTCATTGCAGAGCCCCTCGCGGTTTTCTCAGAGCTAGATCACGGCCTGGAGGTGTTGAATGGCACATACCCGACGTGCTCGCAGGTGGGCATGTTGCACCGCATCGCCACCACAGCCCCATCTGTGTGTATGTCTCTGTGTGTGTGTGTGCGCAGCAGTGACTATGGGATTTCAAGTTGTATCAGAAGGGCCTATGGGGCGCTAACTGCCGAGCCCTCGCGCGCCAGCTCCCGGCGACCCGGACCTCCACAAGCACGAGCACAGCGAGCACAGCCTGGGCCCCAATCAGGATGTGTAAGGATAGGCGACCGCAGGCGGAGCCCAGAGAGCCGAAGTTCCGATCTGCGTTTCGGCCGCCCCCCTCTCGAGCAGGCCACAGGCACCAGCAGCTCCACAACTTCCACCTTCTATGAGCTGGTGCAGATTCTTGGGGACCTCGACTTGCTCGCGCCGGGCACCCGAGAAGAGCTCCGCTCGGCTGCGCTGCTGCGCTCCTGCTCTTTTTTCTCTCTATAATCAGGAGGTCTGTCCTAGACTGGCCGTAGACGTCGTCGTCGTTTTTCGCCCCCTTTTCTCACTCGGCGCGCCGCGCTCCGCCACTCTGCGATCCGCTCTGCGCTGAGGTCGGCGGGTTTCCTCGAGGACGCGAAGGTGCCCGAAGGCGCTCCCCCGCTGCCCCTTTCCCTCTTTCTTTTCAGTGCAGAGAAAGGATATTTTTATACGGGAGAGGAAGAGGGGAGGGGCGTGGGCGACCGCGGATCCGCATGTAAGACTCTCGGCTCCGCCAGGGCTGGCCAGGGGCCTCGCCGAGCTTCTGGGCGAAGAGGCGGCGCGCAAAAGAAGCCCCTTCTTCGGCGATGCTCTCTTTTTTTTTGGTGGAAGTGCGGATTTGTGCAGATAGAGACATGGATGGACCCGGCGTTTCTTGCGGAAGTCTTTGTAATTGGCGCAGGGCTTGCAGGACGAGGTGCAGGTGACACTGGAGCAGAATGCCACCCAGGACCCAAGACCGAGTTGGACCATTGGAGATTCTCCAAAGACTCTCCGCACATCTGCTCCGCACATCTGCTCCACGAGCTGAGCCTGAGAGATCGACCCCTGGCCCCGCTTTTGTCTGCGCGGCTGCAAAGGACAGCGTGGTGCATGTGGCCTTCGTGGTGGACGCGATGTTCTACAGCTCACAGGATGCCGTCTAAAAACACCCGAGAAGAGTTCTTCAAATGCGCTGACGGGGAGGAAGTGGAGAGCTTCTTCTTGAGGGCGAGGAACCTTTCGGAGATGACAGAACCGCAGGTCCGGGGGACGTCTCTTTGAGAGTCTGCACGGGGAAGAGGGGGGCGGCCAGAGCTGCCAGGTGAGGGCTCTGCTCAACCGCAATCTCCAAGCGGCCAGCAGCCTCAGGCAGTCTCAGGTCGGGAGAAGAAGGAAGGAAGGAGACGGAAGGGGGTGGAAAAATCTTCGACTGCATCTTTGCCTCTGTGCCCTCAGAGTCTGAGGCGGGCGCCGGACGAGAGGTGAGCATCCTGAGCCTCCAAGGGCCTCTTGGCACGCAGAGAGAGGTCAAAGAGGCACAGGCACAGTGCCTTCGAGGCCTTGGAGGTGTAGTCTTTCCCCTTTTTGGTGCAGTGTTGTTAGGTTTTTTGTCTTTTTTGAAGGGGGGGGGTGGGTGGGGTCTTGGCCTTCAGACCGGGCTTGTCGTTGCACGCCCTCATGTTATAAAGTGCCTTGACACCTCTGAGTCTGTGTTTCGAGAGTTGCTCATGCCAGAATTCCTGCGCTGCCCAGGATGCGGCTGCGAGCTTCCACGGAGGCTCCCGGCTTGGTGGAGTTGGGCTCTGTTAAAAAAAGGGGCACCCCCTTCTTTCTTTCGTCTTGGTGACGGGATTCACCTGTAGAGCGCAGCTCCAACAGCACCTTTCCGATCAGAAACCCGGGAGTTGGAGTTACTTCGAGCCGAGCCTGCGACCTTCCTCTCGGAGGCGGCTGTGACCGGGACCGGCAATCGGGACATCGATGTCGTCGTGGTGGAGGGCCCGGAGGCGCACGGTCTTCGCAGATGCCGGCAAAGTCTCGAGACTGAGCATCGGAGCTAATCCGTCCGTGGCATCGCCCTAAACCCTCCGAGCAGTCGAGCAGCTCCAGCGCATCCGCCCTTTCCCAGGCAGAAGCACCGCCGGACAGCTCCATCGGGATGCTCGCCTCGCTTTTCAGAGCTTTTATTGACGGCAGGTCTCCCCGTACATGGAACCTCTCGGGAAGGTGTTGTTCTCCGTCTGACGATTCTAAAACTCTACACTGGGAAGCCTTAGGCAGCCGATGCACATAGCCTTATGTTGCTGAAGAGCCTCAACGCAACACTTCCGGCCGGGCTGAGGGTGGCATGGTTGCTGGTTGCTGCAATTCCCGCCATCGCGCTGCTCTTTGGACGAGACTGGGGACAACGAGTCTGTTTGAGATCCCTCCGCTTGTTTCGCTGACACCAGTTCATCGTGGGTGCACTCTCCAGAAGGCCTTGGAAGAATCCCGAGGCTTTCCGGCGTTCTGGCATGGTTCTACTGCAAGACAGCAGGGCGCAGTCAGGACCACAGCAGTGTAGAAAGTTTGAAGTGGCCATGGGAAGGGACCTGATGTTGGGCTTCGTCGGCTTACGTCGTACGATGTGGGCAAGATGCAGAGGTGTGTGTCCGCTGCAAGTGTTGAAGTCCGAGCTGAAATGGCTAAGAGTCTGTAGAGTTCAGAATCTACAGTTCTTGACAAGCTTCGATGCTTCGACCATAGCCTCTGCGAGTCTATAGAAACCGACAAGACCCCAAAAGTGTTGGGGCTCAGGGAGGTATCTCTTCAGAGAGAGTCTGAGAGGGGATCTTCACTTCCAAAAGCATTCGCCCCCCGGGCGCTGCAGGAGCCAACAACAGCGTCAACAGCGTCGGGAGAGGTGGACTTTGAACAGCCGGAGAGTCACCTGGCTCCAGGTTTGCAAACATGCTGCGGTACACGTACTGCAGAGTGCAACTCGGATCATGTCATCAGCTTGATACAATCCTGCATCAAGCCTGCGCAGTGCCACTGTTGAACCGCAAGTCCGCAAGATGAAAAGAAGAGTCGAGAAAGCCCGCTGGAGCGACCACGCAAGGGCTGATTATGCCGGCAGCCGGCAAAGCTACGAAGGGCAAAGGCGCCGAGGAGACGGATGGGTGCCCTTGGGTAGAGTGCGCCAGAATGTGAAGATGAAGTCGACTTTGGGTCGAGCACATGAGCCCTTCAGGAGACTTTAGCGGTGGTCGTGGATTCCTGCGAGGCGCGATCAAAAGAGCTGGGGGGGGATTGGAATGGAAGTCGGTGCGAGCGCATCGGAAGGACACGGAGCTGGAGCTCAAGGAGGCCCCGGACCTCGGACCACATATCCCGTGCAGTCACGAAGCTACTGGAGGGGGGGGGGGGGGTANNGGGACTTTTTCAGGCACGAAATCCCTGCCCTGGACACAAACGAGATCCCCAGGCCCTCGATGCTCTCGATGAGCTCGGCATTGATTTCGTGGAGGACACTCTGATTCGGGCCAGGATAATTCAAAGGCTCATGCTGGCAGCCTGTGCACTGCAGTGCAGCTCTTCTGCCAGGAGGATGAGCAGGAGCAGTCTGAGAGACTTCGTGAAGCGGAGCTCTCAGAACTAGCATCTCAGAGACGCCAGAGCCGCCAGAGTCGGATGAGCGCGGAGAGTTCAGCGCAGCCGTCCGCAAAGAAGCGGAGAACGAGGCGCTTGCCGCCGCTGGCATCGAAGTCCTGGAGGTCGGCCGGTCAATCCTGCGATGCAGATCGGGAAGCGATCTGCAGCAGCAGAAGCTAACATGCGCAAGTCTCTATGTTTAAACTTGTTGGAAGCGGTGCAGCAGACTTCAGATGCGCCAGCACCTTTCCCAGCTGGCCAGGACGACGACCAGTCAGCATGGGCCCCGGCACAGACGGAGGTTGAGCTTGAAGATTGAATGCATGTCTGGGTGGAGATGCCCACGCTCTCCTATGTTGTAAGGTGATAGAGCCGTTGGTGTTGTAGGCCATTGTAAGCAGTGTCAAGCTGGCTCTCTCGCGACCGAGGCCAGCATTGACTTCAAGGCCAGGATCGTCAACAAGCGGAAGCCTTGGTGCTTTCCTGCTTCCTGCCCTCAGGACTCGCAGTTGGCTATCGAAGATGCTTCTCGGCTTCAGACTATTTCAGGCTCCAAGCTGTGTTCTGAAATCGCAAGATCGTCGATGCCCGTGAGTCTTAGTTTGAACCCACTCTTTGCAGTCCCTAATGCCCTAGCACCCGGAAGCTTTGTCGTGGCTCCCCCCACGTCTCGTGGCCCCATCCCCAAGCACGAACATCAGTTGCGGTGCAGGGCCTTCTGCCATTTGGAGGGAGGAAGCTTTTACGAAGGTGACGCAGTAAAGCTGCTAAAGGGATGATTTCCTGCGTCTCCCAAAGGCCCTTGCCGCAGCCGGCATCGAGCTCACAGAGGTCTGGTGCATAGCCACGCAAGCCTCATGTGCAGCACATGCCACATCTTCCGCATCCAGGACGAAGACTTCTTCATCCAAGATGAAGACTCGGCCCGGACCCCGGTCGGAGCTCAGTGATCCCCGCTCTGCAGGAGACGTTCATTCCGTTTGCTCAGGGCTGTCATGGCTTAGGTGACTTCGCTTTCGGAAGGTGTACGGGATGAGCCTGGGTTTCTCGAGAAGTAGCTCCGATTTGCCTTCCAGCTTGTTGCTTTGGTTCGCTTTGGTTTGAGCTCGTCAACGTAGCGTTCACCCCGTCATGACAAGCAGAACAGTCCAGCAGCGGGACTGCATCAAGCCGATGTCTTGCACACCAGCCGTGCTTGCCTCTGGCCCATGCAGTACCAAGGTTGTCGCCCGTGAGCGTGGCTCGGACGCATCTTTGAGTTGCAACGGACTTGTGCAGACAAGGCCTCGATGCAGGGTTTGGGCTCTCCAAGGTGAGCCTGCTCGAGAAGATCTAAAGCTGGAAGAGGCACACCCTGTGCATCCTCTGCTCAATAAATAATCATGCACCGGGGAAGCTTTCATCAAGAGCTAGACTAGCCAACCTGGACTTCTCGAAGTTCACTCGCAGGACACATCAAGCTGCAACAAGAAGCTGCAGCAATTCGAAGAACTGCAGAGCGCAGAAGAAAGGTAATAGCCTGGTCTACAAGTCTAAAGTCCAACGAGGAGCTCGGTATGAGTACCCCTCGCAGAATTCCGGGCGTAGACTGTCACCAGAGTCTCTTGAAAACGCCCCTGGCAGATCTTTAATTAATCCCAAAGGCCAGCTGCTAGAAACTGCTTTGCTTGCCCACCTCCGAAGTCTTGAGGCATCGTTTCCACTTCCTGCATCCCTGGGTACTCTAGGAGGGGAGAGAGAGTGAGGCGAAAACAGCTCTGTCCTGGTCCCATCAGGATGATGACATTTTGATGGTCTGAGGCCGCAGTGCACTACAACAACTTGAGCCCAATGGGCGCCAAGCTTTCCAAAAAGGCCCAGAGACAAAGAGCACAAAGTGCATCTTTCTGGCTGCCTAATACCTCTCTGAGTAATTAAAAACATGGCAGATATATCATATATATATATATCCTTTCGACTTCTAAGTTGGATGGTTTGGGCAGCTTGCCAGGGCTGCTGTTCCTCAGGAGATCACCTCAAGTGCACGCCAGCAAGCCTTAAGAAGTTTGCTGAGCGCAGGCACTTGTATGAAAGACCTCAATGACGACGTGCAGTCGTTCATTTTGGGTCAGCGTTTTAGTTGCAACTAGAGTAACTGGAGATTTGCCTTGATGGCAGTGCCTCATGATGACCGAGATAAAACGGCCCACAGCGTGAAGTCGTACTCTTTTAGAGGAGCCTTGCCCTTCGATGCGTTACAGAAGGGTTTCAAAGTTCTTGGCATTGCATGCGGATGTCTCATCGCTTTGACTTGAGTCATTAGCCGATAATTGACCGCCAGAGACTTCAATAATCAAGAATGAATGTCCCTTCATGCTGCCGACGAAGCTCTTTCCTGTACAGTAGCGTTTAAAGTTCGTAGCCAGCTGTAGGAGCACCTCAGCAGTTCTTTGATGGCTAGGCGCTTTCTCCAGTCTGGATGTCGCCAGAAGCACAGTCAAGCACCGTGAGAAGCGGTCCCCGTTCGCGGACACAAGACCGCAGATTTCGCGGGTGGAGGGGGCCCACCAAATGCTGCGCCTGCTAGGAGGGGTGGAGGGGGGCCACGAGGAGGAGGTCGGACGGAGGAGGCGGGAGGACGTGGAAGGAAGGAAGGCGGGCGATCGACACACGGACGCCAAGCAGGAAAAGTAAGAACCCCACACAAAGATGTGGGGAGATTACTAACAATAGGATCTTAATTTTACACGTTGAAAATGTATATAAATATGCGTATATTTTCAAGTATAGCTTGATGTGGGTTTAATGGGACCTTTGATTTGGACAACGCAGTGTCTAGTAGTGCAACTAGAGTTTAGAATAGCGTGTCTTCATAGTTTATAAAGACATGTTTGGATAGATTCTTGATTTCGGATGTTGATATTTGTTTATAGATTGTATTTCGTACTGGAGTTTTCAGGATAATTATTGGATTGGCAAGTTACTATAATGTCGATGCTGATAAATCGCAAGTAGAAATTGGGAATAGATTTATAAGGTTAGTAATAGTAGTAAGTATAAATAAGTATATTTGTAAAAGAAAAATATATGAGGATGCGGATTTTATAAGGTTGGTATATTGATATTATTTCTACTATATAAATAATAGAGTATGGTAGGAGAGATATATTTAGAGTTATAGTAGAGGTTGTATCTATATCTGGTGATATTATATACGAGATAGGGAGGTACAATTTGGTATTAGCATTCTATTTTTTATTTTGAGATATTACATACGAGGTAGGGGCACGATTCGTTAGGGGCATTGGTTTCTGTATTTTGGGAGATTGTATACTGGATACGGGGCACGATTTGTTGCGGGTATTGGGTTCTATATTTGGTGATTTCACTTAAATACGAAATAATACGTATGATTTGTTACGGGCATTGGGTTCTGCATTTGATGATATTATACACGAGTTAGGGGGACGATTTGATATTGGCATTGGGCTCTGGATTAAGATGTTAAAGTACACACGAGACATACGATTTGATAAGAGCGTTGGGTCTTGTATTTTTTGATATCTTGTATCGTGAGATATCGTACATGAAACAAGAAAGAGGTAGGATTCGTTACGGGCATTGGGTTCTATATCTTGTGATATCACATACGTGACAAGGGGCACGACTTATTACGGGCATTGGGTTCTGCGTCTTGTGATATCATCCACCCGACAGGGAGTACGATATATTCCGGAGATTGGTATTGGGTTCTGTATCTGGCAATATTATATACGAGACAGGAGGTTCGATTTGATACGGGCATTGGGTTTCGTATTTTGTGATATCATGTACGAAATAGGAGGTAAGATTTGTTGTCGGCATTTTATTCTAAATCTTGCGATATCACACAAGAGACAGGAAGGAACGATTTGTTATGGGAATTGGGCTCTGTATCTTATGATATCATATACACGAAATAAAAGGATTACGATTTTTTGCTGGTATTGTATTTATTATCTTGTGATATCACATACGAGACAGTGGCCACGATTTGTTTCCGACATTGGACTCTGTGTCTTGTGATATTATTCACGAAACAAGAGGTGCGATTTGATACGGGAATTGAGTCCTGTATCTTGTGATACTCACGAAACAGGAGGAACGATTTGTTACGGGCATTGGGTTCTGTATCTTGTGATATCACATACGAAAGAGGAGGTGCGATAGTTTGCGGACATTGGAATTGCATCTTGTGATATTTTACAAGACCAGTGGCACGATTTGTTACGGGCATTGGGTTTCGTATCTTAAGATATCATACGCGTAATAAGAGATATCATTTATTGCGGGCATTATATTCTGCATCTGGTGATCTCACTCATGCACGAGACAGGAAGTACGATTTGTTACGGGTATTGGGTTCTGCCTCTGGAGATCATATTCATGCATTGCACAGGGCGTACGATTTATTACGAGCACGAGGTTCTGTATCTGCTGATATCAGATAGGATATAGGGCGTACAATTTGTTACGGGCATTGGATTCTGTGTTTTCTGATATCATGTACGAAACAGGGGGTATTATTTGTTGTCGGCATTGGTTCTGTAGCTTGCGATATCACACACGAGACAGAGAGGTACAATGTAATACGAATATTGTGTTCTGTATCTTGTGATATCACGCACGAGATAGGGAATACGATTTCTTACGGGCATTGTGTTCTGCATCTTGTGATATCACATACGAAAGAGGAGGTGCGATATTTTGCGGACATTGGAATTGTATCTTGTGATATTTTTTACAAGACCAGTGGCACGATTTGTTACGGGCATTGGGTTTCGCATCTTGTGATATCATACGCGTAATAGAAGGCATCATTTATTGCGGGCATTGTATTCTGCATCTGGTGATCTCACTCATGCACGAGACAGGGTGTACGATTTGTTACGGGCATTGGGTTCTGCCTCTGGCGATCATACTCATGCACTGCACAGGGCGTACGATTTATTACGAGCACGAGGTTCTGCATCTGCTGACATCAGATAGGATATAGGGCGTACAATTTGTTACGGGCATTGGATTCTGTGTTTTCTGATATCATGTACGAAACAGGGGGTATTATTTGTTGTCGGCATTGGTTCTGTAGCTTGCGATATCACACACGAGACAGAGGAGTACAATATAATACGAATATTGCGTTCTGTATCTTGTGATATCACGCACGAGATAGGGAGTACGATTTCTTACGGGCATTGTGTTCTATATCTTGCGATATTATATACGAGACAGGGGGCACGATTTGTTACGGGCATTGGATTTCGCATCTTGTGATATAATATTTACGAGACATGGAGTACGATTTGTTACGGATATGGGGTTCTGTATCTTGTGACTTCAGACACGAGTGAGCGAGGTTACGTTTTGTGACTGATTTTGGATTCTGTATCTTGTGATATCATACACGAGACAGGGAAGGTACGGTTTGAAATATGCAGTGGGTTCTGTATGAGCCAGAGGGTACAGTTTGTTGTGGGAATTAGGTTCTGTATCTTGTGATATCGCT